CCTTGCCCCCCCCCCCCCGTCGCCTCCGAAGCGAGGGCCTCGCGGCTTGCCGCTCGGGTCTCGCTGCTGTCTCCCCCCCACGCTTCGAAGCGGCGGTGGCGAGGGAGTTCGCAGAGCGTTCCCTGCGCATGCGCAGGGGATGCTCTGTCACTTTCGGGGGGATTTAAGTATCCCCCCGGTATTTTTTCCGGGTTTTTAGATTTTTGTGCACACCTGAGGACTGCCCCAAGTGTGCACAAAAATCTCCCTCCCCCCAGGTGCCCCCGATGCGCGGATTAAGTATCCACATGCACGGGGGCGACTTCGCTATTAGTATATAGATAACATTCAAAATCCAGTGGGGGGACATTTTAACCTTCCAGGGCATTCAGTTGCTGACCTAAGAGTAGCAGTTCTCTCACAAAGGAATCTCAAAGGGAGATTAGAGAGACTGTGGAATTGCAAGTGATCATGAAATTCAAGACAATGCAAACTCCTGGACTGAATTGAAACCTAGGTTTCTTCACTCATTACCAATGCCTGCTCTTGTCTTTCAGCATCTGAAATCACTTAACTCTGCAAGATATAAGGACAGATGGACTCAGGGCTGGCCCGTCATAGAGAATTTTTAGGCAGTGGCCTAGAGCAGCCCCTTAAGAGGGGGCGCTCCGCTGGTCTGCCACCCTGCCCCTCCCTCACCTATAAACAGGGTAGGCTGAGGCGATGCTGTTGTGACCCCGTGTGGCAGCGGTGGAGACCGGCTTCCAGGTGCACTTCTCCGGGGACTGCACTGCTCTGGCCTCCAGCAGGCCCCCTGCCAGGGTCTGCCCTCCTTCCCGCGTGGCTCCACCCCACCCTGCACTCTGATATCGGCCTCGGGCAGCAGAGCCTCCCTGCTGCTGCCCTTGCTTGCTCGCTCCTGGTTAACTGCGATGGCTGCCCTGGCGTGGGAAGGGGGGCTCGGGGGGCACGCTTCCCGGGAGGAAAGCAATCAAGCAGCCAAGCTGAGGCCACCCCTGGTGGCGCCCGTTCCCTTCTTCCCTCTTCTTCTTCTTCCTTGGGGCTGCTGTGCTGGGGTGGGGTGGTGGCGGCAACCGGGCCTTCTCCCCCCCCCCCACCACCACAGACCTGTGCATGCCGTTCCTGCTCAGGTAACATCATTTGGGGACTTGGTGAGCCACGTGTGCGAATGGCAAGAAGGGTCAGGGGTCCCCACCCCACCCCCAGGCAGTCCGTGCGCTTTTCAGGGTACCCCCTTAAGGCAGCGATTTGAGCCTGCAGAAAAGATGAACTGGAGGGGGGTGCTTAATCGACGGGGAGAGGGTTAAATGGCCACCTCCCTCCTGAAGTCTCCCGCAGAGCTGCTTTTCTTTGTGATCTCCCCCCCCCCCCGGCATTACAGAGATCAGGTCCCCTTGAGGAAATAATAAAACCAGAATAAAACCATATTGTATAAAAATGTAAACCAATTTAAAATTAGCAATTTTGAATTTTGTGTTTTTTATTCTTCCTAAAATGCATTTATGTTTTGAAAATGGGGGGGCCACGCGGGGGGGGGGGGGGGCAGAAGGTAGCCTTGCCTAGTGTGCAAAAAAACCTGTAGCCGGCCCTGGATGGACTCACATTTCAGCTGTATGTGAGGAAGTGAGCAGTGATTCATGGAACCTCATGCCCTGCCCCAATTTTGTTAGTCATTAAGGTGCTGCTATACTCTTGTTCCCTTTCACTAATAAGGAATGCAAGCTGTGCTGTTAGGTTTCTCCCCCACCCCATTTGTTAGAAATGGAAAGGGGGATCTCTCCAAGTGCCTTGGGATGGTCTCACTCTCTCTTATACCTGGAACTCCAAGTGCCATGGGATGGACTCTCTCTTCTCTCTTATACCTGGAATAAAACAATTTTTGGTCTTAAACACAGGACTCTCCCCTCCCCACCCAGAATAAAACGTTTTTTGGTCTAAACACAGGACTCCCTCCCCAATACTGGAATACAACATTTTTTGTCTAAACACAGGACTCTTCCCTCCATACCTAAAATAAAATGTTTTTTGGTCTAAACACAGGACTCTTTTTCTGACATGCTCCTGCTGGCTGGCTCCCTCCCTTTCTCTCTCTGAAGAAAAAGTTTGGTTATACCTGGAATAAAACATTGCTGGTCTTCTGAAAAGTCCCACAAGATGCCATTTCCCCCCCATTTCCCCCCCCCCTCTTTCTCTCCTCTGTAGCAGAAACTAGTAGAGACTGGGGGAAAGGAGCTGTGATCTTAGAAACAGGAAGCAGGAGGCAGCACAGAGGCAGCTGCTCTCGGGCCAGATTGCAGCCCTGCACAGGCCAGATCTGGCCCACGGGCTTCATGTTTAACACCCCTGGCCTAGAGTATCCCTTACAAGTGTTTGTTCAGCCACTGCTTAAAGACTGCCAGTGAGGGTGAGCTCACCACCTCCCTAGGCAGCTGATTCCACTGTTGCACAACTCTTACTGTAAACAAGTTTTTCCTAATATCCAGCGAGTAACTTCCCGCCCTTAATTTAAACCCATTATTGCGAGTCCTACCCTCTGCTGCCAACAGGAACAGCTCCCTGCCTTCCTCTAAGTGACAACTCATCAAATACTTAAAGAGAGCAATCATGTCCCCCTCTCAACCTCCTCTTCTCCAGACCAAACATTCCCAAGTCCCTCAGCCTTTCCTCATAGGGCTTGGTCTCCAGGCCCCCAATCATCCTCGACACTCGCCTCTGTACCCGCTCCATTCTGTCCACATCCTTTTTGAAGTGACGCCTCCAGAAATGCACACAATACTCCAAGTTTACACTGTATTGATTTACACTGTGTAATCCACCTTCAGTCTCAGTGAGAAAGGCACACTATAAATAATAAAAATATTATTTACCATATGTAATGTACTCTGCCATGACCACGTGCGCGACCGTTGGGCCATGCGGTCATGCAAGTCCTGAAGCTTCGCTCCGATAGAACAATAGCCAAGCGGATCCTAGCCCCACCTATCAGAGGGCCAGGTCCGCAGCCGAGAGCCTATGGGACTCTCGGCTACTGTAAATAGCCTATAAGGTAGTAGGGGGTGTGTTTTGGGTGAAGGGTTTCTGTGCATATATACCGGCCTGCGAGCCGGCTGTCCTTGTCTTGTTCCAGCTGAATAAAAGTACTTGGCCGAAATCACTCCACGTTTCTCAGTACTTTTCACCATATATAACTTACATTATATACAAAAGGCCTAGAAACTACGGAGTTCCACATCAGCCATTTTTAATATATGGATCTCTGATTCTCTTCACATTTGTCTTTGTAATTCTTTGAGGCATTTGAAGAAATGAGAGCAGATTTTGGCCTTCTGGGGAAAAGCTGAAAACAGTGGCCTCTTCTATAAATTTAAAAACCAGTAGTTAATCAAGTATCTTTCTGGTACCCAAAATCTTGCAAAACAAACCACTACATACACATAGATGTTTGCACGCCCTCTCCAACATTATCATTGTGGCATGGAAGTTGTTGGCATGCTGAATGTGTAGCAATTGCTGTTCCCCCCTGATACTGGGCAGAGGAGTCACAGTGTGGACTTTTCTCATATGTCCTGGGGCTTCTCTCATTACCTTCACAGTCCAAGAAGGAGCCATACTGCTGTGGCTCCCTTGCCACCAAAGAAACATGAGAATGGCCCCTAAATGGCATGGAGATTTCCTAGGCAAACAGATTGTTCCAGCAGTTAGTTATCCTCTCTGCTACAATTTCACTTCTGCTTTGAGTCTGAATACCACTATATAATGGACTACATTTATCTACTAAATATAAGATTATTTTTCATCAGCAATGTCTCCCTCAAACGTCATAAGACTGAAGGGAACATTTTGGATGGGGACAGTTTGCTGTAAAAAACAACTGAGGGTATTTTCTGTTTCAGCTCATGCTCTGAATTTCTAGATAGCACTTCCCAGTGCGAGGCATTATACAGAAAGGCTTCCAGACAAAGCTGCCCTGTGTCCTTGAAAGTTATTCCAATAAAGCTTCTTTGTTAGAAAATATTTCTTGTCCCAAACTACAAACAAGGCTACAAACAAGCCTGACTAATTTCTCTCTCCTCTCTCTCCCTAGCATTGAATACTGGTTCAGATGCATGGATTTGGATGGGGACGGCATGCTGTCCATGTATGAACTGGAGTATTTTTATGAGGAACAGTGTGAGAGGATGGAATCCATGGGCATTGAGCCACTGCCATTCCATGATTTACTGTGCCAGATGCTGGATCTAGTAAAGCCAGAATGGGATGGTGAGGCCAATATTCACAACAACGGTTCCTCTGCTGCTGCTGATCTGTTATTATGTGAAATACCACTTGATCTCTGTGCTGCTTTTTAAGAATTGATGCATTGTCTGTCCAATCACTTGCTTGTGTTTGTGGCCGCTAGTTCACAAAAACAATCACATGTGCATTTGATTGCAGTAGATAAAAGCATGTACACTTCTTCAGATACACTGAAACAGACGTCACCAGCCACTACATATAGGTAGAGGGTGGGGAGAGTGTTATTAGGAAGGGCTAATGTGTGGATCTTGGTCTTGAGTACATGATATCCCAGAAAACAAAGAAAATGAAACAGGAAGTTTTCCATGTTATAGCATGCTCTTTTCTTTTTTTTTTAAGCCAACTAAATCTAAATTTGCTTTTCACAGGCACTCATGGCCTACTGTTTAAACAGGGGAATGTGCAGGTTTGGGCAAAAGAATGTCCACCCCCACTTGGAACATGAATCAATCAATATGAGACTGCAATAGGAAGGGCTTGTGAAAAGACAATTAGAATGGGGCAAAGCATGAATAATGTCATGCATACCTGCTGGGTAATAAAACTATTATTATTTTTCCTGGAACTTCTCATTAAAATACTATTACTACCTGAGACCTCTCTTCATAGACTGACCAGTTTCCTGCATTCTTTGCATAAGTGACATAAATGTTGGCCTTCTCCTAAAATGGAGTTTGTTTAGTTTTGTTAAATGGAAGCTAGTCATACCAAGTTAACCAAACCATAACCATCAGGGCCAACATAGGCAAACTTTGTTCTTCTGATTCAGACTCAAACATTATTCTGCTAATTCAGACCAACACGGCTACCCAAGTTTAATTTGCCTATATTGGAATGATCCTGTAGAGGCATGAAAATAAAGCTCATATCCAGTTTCCATGAATCATCTGACATTGCAAACAAAAACTTAAAGCAACAAAAACATTACTGGGTAAAAAAAATTGACAATGTTCACATATACAGGTTTGGGTCTCCTAGAGTAGGGGAACACTTCAGCAACTGTGAAGGAAGTGGGAGCATATTTTGCAAAAGTCCTGGCAGGGCTCATTTGTTGATTCCACCCAGGTGTCAGTTCTTAGCTCAGTATCAAATAACTGATCAGATTCTTAGACTGTTGTTCATCACACATTTAGCACATTGCTGCAAAGCGAGTTGAAGAGTAGCATCCCCTGAAATGTTTTGCAAAACACATTCTGGATGTGTAATAAAGTCATCAAAAAGTTAGTCACCGTAGACTAGACCTGCACTACAGTGCAAATCGAGATAAGATGCATCTTCTCACCAAACAAAAAGGAGTTGTGGGAAAACCTATTTCACAAATACAGAATTGTAATTCAAAATATTTTGGCCTTTTCTTTTATCAGTTCCTTTGAATTAACCGTTGTTGATCAGCTTTGCAGATATATCTTCTGAGTTCTCAGGCTGATAGTGTCTGTTGTGGCAGAGCCAGTGCATGCAGTAACTGTGCACATTGTAAGTGACCTACTAAGGAGGTTCCCTGCTTGTAGCAACTACAGGTCATCTGACTTGCTTGCATTGATGAGCCCACATGGAAAGACCCTGTGGCAAACATTCACATGACCAGTTGTCACACAGACATTCAAACTGAGTTGATGAGGGAAGGATGTGGGAATCTGAGGTGAAAGGCATCCCCTGTCCTCTACATCATGGAATACTAATTGCTGTGTACTATGTGAGCCAGAGATTCCATCCATATTAAGATCCATTGGTATTACAACATGTGCTTGTTCCACAGGTAGAGTTACTCTGCGAGACTTGAAGAGATGCAGAATGGCTCATGTTTTTTACAACACTTTCTTTAACCTTGAGAAGTATCTAGACAATGAACAACGGGATCCCTTTGCTGTGCAAAAGGTACAAAGTCATTATACTTTAGTGATTGCTCTGAAGGCAAATGCAGTTTCACAATAAAAAGATGAAAAACCTATATGAAACTCCCATGAAGTTTTCAGTGGCAGATGAACAGGTATTAGGAACCTAATAAACATCTCTTTCCATCAGTGTATCCCAGATCATTCTCTAAGAGATATGGGGAAGTAGTAAAGGATAGACTAAATCAGGATGGTGTCTACGAGCATGGAACACCAGTATGTTATAACACACATTTTATTCTGATTCCCAGGACAGGGGACAGTTTGCCAGCTTGCAAGAGCTATGGCTAGACATTTCTTTATCCTGTGCAGAGTTCAAATAATTATAACCCTCTGTGTTTGGTATCCTTAGTTTGTTGCACATTCCTCTTTCTTAGCTCTTAAAATGGCATTGGTAAATGAACCATTAGATAACATAGGAGATTGGTGTCATGAACCTCCCATGTGGCCTTCTGCGTTTATCGAATTCAGTGAAAAGTATTAAGTAAAATGCTTTGGTTTTGCCATCAAAAAGCTGATTTATGGCAGCCCTGTAGGGTTTTCAAGGCTAGAGATGTTCACAGGTGGCTTGTCATTGCCTTTCTCTGTGTCACAGCCCTGGTATCCCTTGGAGGTCTCCCATCCAAATACTTGCCAGGGCTGACCCTGCTTGGCTTCCAAGATAAAACAAGATTGGGCTAGCCTAGGCTATCTATGTCAGGGACGAGTAGAATGTATAGTTTATATAAATTTAGGATATTCAAGTAAAATCTTCTGAGCTTAAACATGTGTCACTGAAAGCATTGTTTGAACTGGAAGAGACAGCAAGAGATATAGTCTACCCGTCCTAAGCAGAGTCCCACCCTTCTAAGCTTCTTGACTTCAATGGACTTAGAAGGGCTTAGAAAGATATAACTCTGCTTAGGACGACATTTAAAATAACTTTAGAAAAACCCTTTTATACAGTTAGTTGTTGAACTGATTCTGTAATTCATTCACGTGCTGAAGAATCTGGAGCTTTATACCATTTGTACAGTTACAAATAACAGGCCTATAGATGATTTCAGTGTACTTTTCTAATACAAATGATCTGAAATATACCACAATACCATAAAAGTGTGTAATTAATTTCATGGGAGGGGAACCCTGTTTGCATTCATTTGTGCCCTTGAATTGGATGTTTCAGTTGAAATAAATGGTGATCTTTCCATGCAAATAACAATCTATGGGTCTGTGTGAATGCATGCATGCATAACGAACATACACCTAGATGTGATACATGACAAATACTTTTCATTTTTCTTTCTGTAGTCTTCAATCGCTTGTTATATGGTTACCCAACATCCTCAGAGGATGTGTCCTCTTTTTGGGTTAAAGAAAACAACCTGACGAAAATGTCCTCTTTTTGGGTTGGAAGGTTAGGAATATTCCTAGTTAGTAGCAATTATCACAGCTTAAATCATAGGGGTATTTAAAATGAGATTTGTCATAGTGATCACTTGCTTGAAGTAGTCAGTCGGGAACTGTGTCCTCTTTTTTTCGCTTTTCAAAATATGGTAACCCTACTTGGTAGGTGTCAGTACTTGAATATAACGTAATGTTTATAGGCTATTCTAAGTGGAACTCGTGGAGAAAGGGGGTCTCCACCAAGAAAAAAAAGACCGTGTGTAATAATTTTGGAAAATATGTTCTTGTTACTGCCGTTTTATGTATGTATAGTGGTTCTGTTACAGGATAGCAGAGGCTTTCATATTGTTATAATGTATTCTCAATTGGTGAAGCAAGTGACTGTTGCAAAGGGGAGGTTAAAAGGTCACTAAAGAAGAGCTTTCAAGCTCAGAATAGGATTTCAAATGAGATGGATACTCTAAAGGAGCTCCTAAAGTCAGGATTCCAGTCAGTAAGAACAAGGCTTGACCAAGTGTCAGCAGCTGATTCAATGGAACCTTGGGGGAAGGTAGAGAAGCGTAGGTTGAGAGGAGCAGCAGGGGGGTGGGGGTGGGGAGAGGCAGCTGGAAAGCAGCTGGAAGGCAGAAGGTCTTCAGGAAGGTTACCCGCCAATGCCTACTGAGAGCCAGGTGAGAGGCTAAAGCCAAGGAAGGTTCACCATTGAGGAGAAGGCAGAAGAAAGGGCACAGATAGCCTGGGAAGAGGCTAGAAGATCTGTGGCTGAGTCCCAGGGACCTGACTGACAACCTGATGATGCTTGTAAACCTTTGAGGTCTTATCAGGGTATCACAGAGTTAACTGCCAGAGGGAGGCTAAAAACCTATAAATATAAAGCCACCCCAGAGAGTACAGATATGTAATACCTGTTTAAATCAGTTTTGATACAGGACCTGACTTTAGTCTTATCTGTTTCTTTCTTGTGTATTTGTTTAGGATGTTGAGAATGATGGCCCTGAGCCCTCTGACTGGGATAGATATGCTGCTGAGGAGTATGAAATCCTTGTTGCTGAAGAATCTGGCAATGAGCACTTACAAGAAGGGTGGGTGTTGATAACCTGAAAACCAGACTGTTATCACTAGTCCCAGAAATGTAAAAATTCACGTGTCAAGTTATTCTGAATACATTTCAAGAAGGTTAACAGAGCAACATTATTTAACAAGAACAACTTGACAATTTACTGAGTAACTCAACTAACTGTGGAATCCTAATTAGAGTTACACCATTCTAAGTCCACTCTAGTCGATTTAGGATTGCACTAATAGGAGTACAGAATGTAAGTGAAAGTGACAGTCACCATGCACACAGTGATTTAGAGCTGGCTACAGGTCATTCTAGATGTTGATATTTAAGAATCACAGATTGGACCTCTGGACACTTACGGAGGGGGTCCTTCTCCTCTGAGGAAAGGAGGACATCTTTGGGTGCTTCCTACCGTCCAATCAGGGAGGCAGGAACTAGATTCTTCTCCTTTCTGTCTGGCATGTGGGACACCCCTTGCTTTCAGTTCGGGGACTCCGCACAGCAGTAGAACGAAAGCTTTCTAATAACTATAACAGACTCCACCATGAAGAAACGAACTGTAACTGGTAACAGGCCTTCAAACAGGAACAGCAGGAGAAGTCAGAAAAGGTGCAGCAGTAGAAAGAAGGACAAAGACTCAGGGAGGGCAAGGTTCTCCTTTCCTCCGAGGAGAAGGACCCCTCACAGTAAGTGTCCAAAGGTCCATTCTCCCTCTGAGGCAGAGGGCATCTTTGGGCACGCTCACAGCAGTGCTTAAGATATGGGTGGGATGTCATCATCTGAAATCACATGCTGCGACTCTCTTCTCCCAAAGGCTGTGTCCGCCGATGCATACAGGTTTGGCTTGTAATGTTGCACAAAGATCGATAGGGTAGACCAGGTTGCTGCTTTGCAGACCTCTTCCACCGAGGAATTTCTGAGGAAGGAAGGGAGTAAAAAACAATTGGAAAGGAAAATAGTAGGCAGAACCTGCTATAGAACTGCTCTCCCTCTGAGGCAGGAACAGAAACTGAAAGCACCCAAAGATGTCCTCCGCCTCAGAGGGAGAAAGGTATGTCATTATCAGCTGTGCTACCAATTAATGACAGAACAATGATGCGTATGGTATGTAAGCATCTTCATTTGGTTTGAACCAAAGGATTCCTCTTTGAGCAATGTGTGAAAAGTTCATATTGTTGACTGCATGGTGATGAAGACTTTCATGGAACACTGAAAACATCATAACCTGTACGCTCTCTGAGAATTCAGTAGGAAGAGGATGGACAAAAGCCTTGGTTTTCTTACCATTTATTCAGCCAGGTTTTGAGATAAAAAAATACTTCCCATTTAAGTTAAGGAAGACAGTTTTGGCATTGTTACAATTTAATGTAGACTTCCATGCAGATTTGATTAGTAGGACTGAGTGAAGACAAGACTGATTTGGAAGCACACTCAATGTGCTCCGGCCAGGCTTTCTCTCCAGGGCTTGAGCTTGAATAGTTCTGCAAGTTTGAAAGTTGAATTCAGAACTTTCCAGCCTCCACCCACACTGTGCTCATCTTCACAAAATGCTACTTTTGACATATAGCAAACCCTGAATAACAACATGAAAGGGACTGCATCAGTGGAAATGGCCAATTTAGTCCAGTCCAGCCCTGCAGCAGAAACTGGCTGTGTATGGCCTGTGATACCACCAAGAGATCTCCTGTCATTCAAATCCCCAGAGCAGTTTTGCCTTTTTTAAAAGTTGACTTTTTTCCAAAAAGAAAAGGTAATATCGGACCCAAGTATGTGGGCATGCTGCATACCTAAACAGCAATAGAGGAAGGACCAAAGTGTGTCATTACCAGTGTAGAGACCCCTGAGGAACACAGGAAAATCCCATCTGTCCCAACCCCCAAGCACTGGCTCTGTCAAGGAGCTGTGCATGAGTACTTTCCTGAGCCATTGGGGAATATCTCTGAAAAGCACACTGGTACTAATTTTGGTCAGGGAAAATGAGAATGAACTGGCCACAGATCAACCAATGTAATTAAGCTCAGAGGCTGGATACACTTTGGTGTGCTGTCCTGAGCCCAAAATCCCTTACCCCAACACATCTCAGAAGCAAAGGGAGGCTGGGGTCTTCTTTCTTTCTTTCTTTCTTTCTTTCTTTCTTTCTTTCTTTCTTTCATTCATTCATTCATTCATTCATTCATTCATTTATTTATCAAATTTATACCCCGCCCTCCCCGCAAGCGGGCTCAAGGCGGCTTCCATAAAAACAACTACATTAAAATTTCACAATATTTAACCATATAATAAAAACATTATAAATACAAAGTCCTGGCAGGTGTTAAATTAACCTAGACGGTATATTGCTAGAATAAATTTCCACTGCCCAGATGTACCACGATGTTTCTGCTCATAATCAGATGTTAAAATCAGATGTTAAAACCACAGACCTTATGCACTGGCAATTCTTTCCCCATTTAAGCAAGTGCTTGGACAGGGGTTTATGGAGAAATCAGTCTCTGAGCCAGCATGCTGTCTTTGAGCCCAAGTACCTTCCCACAATGACCACTTTGAAAGCAAAGTGAGATTAAGCCCTCCCTTTCCTTCCAAAGTGACAGTTGTGGAAAAGGATTGTCCCCACAAATTTCATGAAGTGGGTGCACTAATTAAAATCAGGTGATAAAGATATATGCAATTTATTTATTTTTTAGAAAAGGGCTAACCCACCCCAATGTGAGCTGAGGGACAAGACTGTTGGCTGATCTGTTGGTCTGAATATCAGGCATTTAAGTGATAATACTGGGAGAAAGCTGCACTCACATCACACGTAACACAGATGCTTTGAACTTTAGATATATTTTGTCTATCTACACTCACTATAAAATTGCTAAAAATATAAACAGTAGATATTTATAATTCACATAAACCATCTGCATCTTTATTTCTTGCAGATCCTTTGATGATGACTATGAAGCAGATGAACTCTTATCTCTACCTGAAATTGGAGAAAAGTCAGACAAATTAGTTATTTCAGACCTTTCGACATAAAAATACTGAATCCTGCTAGGTCACTAGGGTCTGTTAGTATTTAATTGGACGAGTCCTCAGTTGTTACGTTTCAGGAATTTTTTTTTTCTTGAAGCAACAACCAACATTTGATATAATATTGTTTTGAATGAATGGCATGCTTCTGCATTATGGTAACTTCCAAAAACATGGTGGTTAAGTGTGACAATGTTTTATGAACTGTAAAGAAACAAGGAGCCCTGAAGTGGAAGGGGTTGGCAAGCCATGGGTGTAGTAGGAAAATAAAGAATTTAAAACAAGTTCAATAAATTCTTTATTTTCCCACACTGTAGATTTTATTCCCCTTTTTATATTTAGAAACTGTACCTTCAGTTTTCTTATATCTTATTAGATAATTGTGCAGTAACTTTCATAAATTTTAATGCATACAAAAAAACGATGTGTTATTTCCAGTTTACTTCAGCACCCTATTAACATTGTTGGATAAACTATCACAAGAGCACTCTCAAATAAATGACATTGAGTTCTGTTAAATCCCACTGCTGTTAAAGCAACATTCTTTTCAAAAAAAAAAAAACCTGCAGCCAATCAGAAGCCTCGCTGGGCAACCCCCCCTCAGCCCCCCCCCCACTTTCTAGAAACACTTGATGGTTGCCAGGATAGTTGTTGGCAGTCACCACGGTGCCCACAGGCATCACATTGGAGACCCCTCCGCTGGAAAAAGACAATCTCTTTGTTATTTACTGTTGTTTTTTATGATGGCAACTTTTCTTTCATTTAGTGCTTTTCTGAAAAATCCAAAGAAGTGAGTCTCTACTGCATATGTAATCTAAGTGAGCATGAAACTCCTGCTAGTCTCTTTAGAAAGGTAGAAGTACTATATCCTGTACCAGCATAATCAAGCAGATACAGCAAAGGAACGTCCCCAGATACTGCTGCAAACTGGAGCACAGCTATTCCCTATTCACTTTTTGGCAAAAGGCTGGATATTCTAGTGCTGTGTAGGTGTACAGTCTTCTTAACTTTTTTTTCCCAAAAGCCCACAGAGCAGGAGAATGGACTGGATATGCTCAGAAGACTGCAGTACAGTTATCCTTGCAAGTGGTCTCCACATTTAAAAAAATGGGGAGGGGTAGTAAATCAGAGTCTCCTCTTGTACAGCAGAGCTTAAGATACCCAGACATTAAACATACCTTTTAAAAATAGCACAGGTGTGTGCAGGGGAAGAGTTCTAATTGTACAACATGAATCACATCACAAGCAATATCCCACAGCTGCACTTGCACAACAGCATGCCACATCAGGATCACAAAACTAATGTACCCTTTCCTCACGGAAGAAGCAAATTTTCCCATTGGTGACATATTGCAGTTTGAATGGTAGGAAAATGTGCGATCTCCACAACAAAGTATAATGTTGAGGAAAGAGATGTGAATTCTGCACTACAAATGTCACCCAATTGTGTATTATGTATAAGCAAATGGTGTACAGAAAATCCTCGTGTAGGACTGTGGATGACTGCTGCCTAGCGGATAACTGTTACAAAGGCATCTGTCATTCCACTGCTGAACACCTAACACTTGTGTGACTGACCTAAACGCTGTACTCACAGCACCCAGCGTATCATCATATTTGTATTGTTTTGATGTCCCTACTGGTATGCTGCTCCCCATCCTTAGCACTTATGCACTGGCAAAGCAGTTTTTAGGACTAGGTGGCTCAGTGCCTTCCTTTGAAAACCCCTGAGGCTTGTATCACTGTCTTCAAAGTTCTGTTCAGTTCAGTCCCCTTTAATAGAAATGCAGTTTGTGCAGGATGAAAAGCCATCATATGCAAAGTTACCCCAGTCTAAACCAACTAATTCCAGACTGGAGTAACTGAGTATTGGATTTCATTGTAAGCTTGTAACCTTAGTCTAGCTTGCTTTGGGAAGAATCAGCCCTACCTCTCAGTGAAATGTCAGAAGCACACTACAGAAATCTATTGTTTCCACTTTGTTTTTATGTAAAGTTAAAACTTAACGATACCGACATACCCAAGTTAACTTGTTCTGTTATAGGGTTTAATTTGTGCTAGGGTTCAGTTCCAGAAATTATTTTCAGTGCCAAGGCTTAACAAAACATAGGCTGCGGTCACACGTAACAGAAGCCACATAAGTGAGACGGAAAACAGCCGGAGTTTCCGGGCGCGATCTCACCAGCACATCTGGGAAGCGTAGCACTCCCGTGGCTCAACCGAGGCTTCCAGCCGAAACTGCGTGGCAAAAAACTAGTACCTTGGAGATACTAGTTTCCGGAAACTGCGGGGCAAGGGCTGGCGTCTGATCACGTTTCTGGTGGCATCCGGCGCCCGCCCATGTCCCCTTGCAAATAAGGTGTTTTTTTTTTGTCCAAGTCTCTGTGGATGCGCATGCGCACCCAACGGAGCATGCGCATTTGTCATGTACACAAAAATAAAAAACAGTTTGCCGTGGCGCGCGCTTCTTCGTTGCGCGCCAGCTTGTCCTGTGATCGGCACCTCTCCCTTGCCATGGAACCTCCACGGTACCTCCACAGGACCTCCACAGGAGGTCTGATCACGTAACTGCGCAGTAGTTTGCCCCAGGGCAAACAGCCACGCTTCTCCTCTGCAGTTTCCTGCCCGTGTGACCGGGGCCATAGTCAATCTAGACTGTCTTTTCCACACTATAGCGTATTGCCCAGCAAATCCCCATACTAAAAGAAAGGATTTCTATCAGAAGCTGAGACTTTCCGGCAAGTTGGTTCCCCAAGTATTTCTTTAGTTAGAAATGAAATACTGCCCTCTTGTGATGTTTTCTATACTTATACTTAAATTCATGTTGGCAAGTGCACTTTACAAAATTGTTTGCCTTTAGTAATTGCATAAAAATAGTTATATGAATCTAAATGAGAGTTACTAATGCATAACAAACTTGAAAGTAGAAAACTCCTGCAAGTTTAAAATAATTCCAGTTGTATTTAATTCCAGGGCAGGTATTATTACAGAAGTGTTCTGGAATGGGATGAAAATGTACGTTTGCTGCAATACTAAACAATTTTTCCTATGAGTGTATGTAGTGAAAAAACATTAAGCATTCTCATCTCCATCTAAGGGATAAAAGTGAAAGAATCACAGGCTGGAAACAACCTGACCATCACGAAGCTGTTGCATATAATGGATTTTATGTAAGTGACGCATAGTCTAGGAAATAGTACTGTGATCAATAATAATTGTATGAATCCTTTAAAGAGAGGCTGTTATTGATAGTCTTGGACAAAATACTGTCATATTATCTATATTCTTCCAACCACCTAAAAGAATTTGTTCATGTGGATTGTCTGCATTTCTGTGATCTTCCTCAAAGGAACTTATATACATCTGTGATGTTAGGAGTCTTGGGCTCGCATAATATATCCCTGAACTGTTGGAAAAATGATTATGATGTCATCATTTTGCTAGCATATTGGCTTTTATGTCAGAACATCTGTGCTAGCTTTACAGTTCTCTACCCAGGATCTTGTGGCTGTTATTGCTAAAATTGACTCCATCAGTTATATCAGTGTTGCATTGTGTGTGTAAAGTGCTGTCAAATTGCAACTGACTTATGATGATCCTGTAGAGTTTTCAAGGCAAGAGGCTAACAGAGGTGGTTTGCCATTGACTTCCTCTGCATAGCAACCCTGGACGTCCTTGGTAGTCTGTCATCCAAATAATAACCAGGACCAACTCTGCTTAGCTTCCAAGATCTGATGAGATTGGGCCACTCAGGTCACAGCGATGGTGGATTAGCTGGCATTATTTACTTCAGGTGTTTGCCTGTTTTATAATGCTTGAGTACAACTTAAACTATATTTTTAATGACACCAATTATGCATTTTGTGAACCAAAGACCATTTAATCAGATAGAACAGTACACTACTAGATCCTTTGCAGTTTTTGTTGCAGTTGAGTAACAGCCATTTAACAGGCCATCAGGTTACCACTTATATGTACATTGCATCTGGCTAGGAGAAATGTAATGACAAATTACTTGTATGTGACTTTATATTCAAAACACTCAGAAAAGGATTACGTTTTCTGTATTATAAAAATGCTCATATGGGTATTTTAGCCTCACTTGAACACAATTAGAGCCATAATCCCTACATTTTATTTCCAGTCCTGCAATGCACCAGCTATTAGTACAGCTTGATGAACGTATTTTTGCAAACTACATTTTTAACTTTAGATGGTAATCTGTAGAGATGTTTTAGCCACATTTTGAAAGTTTAATTTTTATCTGCTCTTATTGCTGTATATCAGTTTTCTTGTCTGAAGAGTGGAAATACCACCTACCTCATAAGAAAGGGGTTAAGATAATTCAGTAATATTGTAAAATTCCTTTCAATATAGGGCTCAAGCAATACCTTATTAGTAATGCATGTCCTTTTGTGCCTGTTCGGGAGAAAATCTTTCTTCCATTGGGTAAAGTAGGATGAGAGAGGGGCATTGCTAGGAAAAATGTATACTATAACTGGTATCAAGTATATACTCAGTATTGTTTTTGAAGGCATAGTCAGGCACAATAGATTGATTTGGACTGCCACTAAGAGGCAGTATTGTGCAAAAGACAAAACAGCTGGGCTGAATTCCAAACAGTATCAGGTTTATCGGTAAGCGTAATTTTTTATAGAATTTGACAGAACATAACTGTCTGGAATAAACATCAGAGCTATTCCAAGAGAGCTCCAAGAGCACCTTGTGTTTTAGCTTAAAATATAGAACCTTAAAAGACCAAAAAGACCACCCACAATGCCAAAGTGGCTCTAAGAAAATCTTTTAAAGTCACAGTAAGTCTATGCAAAAATGAATTAAGAGCACAAGAGACTATAAAAACTAAACTATTTGGAGCAATGCTTGTAATTATAGTTTATTCCTGTATTTTAACTTGCTTTGTTATATTATGTATTAAGGTTTGGAGGAATTATGAGATGTACAAAAAAGTTGTGAAATATGATTGAAGCAGTTATTCAGTGATTACTTGTGCTGGGCATGGCTTTGCCTTAGCTATTTTACTTTGTATTTCTCTTTTTTGAAATTAAATTTTTTCAAAGTGTTGAGTTGTACTATTGATCTCATTAATGTTTTTCCTCTCATGAGAAAAATATTTTGTATCTCAGAAATAATTTTTAAAAACTTACAAAGGGAGTAATATTTCATGTGTCACAGTGCTATAGGAAACTTTTTCCTATTCATTTCATAGCGTCTCCACAGTCAGCTTGCCAGGGATGGCAGAAGGAAAAGACACTCTGGGTTCTGCCCACCACCACAGTTCAAGGAGCCATGGGGAGATTTTACTGCTTCTTTTCCAGAAAGATCATAAAGAGAAGATTGGCTTGCCCTAACTGAATACACTTTGACAGCATTAGACTGATCTCCCTCCTCAACTTTTTCCTTTTAACTCTTCTTGTGTGTCTTCTTTTTAAGCTTTTTAAGCATGAGTGTGTAATATGACTCACTTTGGAAGATAATTGCCTGAATAATATATTCAATATTTCTACTTGATTGTATAGGAAAGGTT